GCTCAGGGGGCTGAGTACCCTGGGGATGACCAGTCTGGCTAAAAAGATCAGTCACTCTCACTTTTCAGCAACTGTCATTCCGTCCTTATAAAAGAACTTCTTTGCTATATTGTAATATAATTATCAAGTGTCTTTGCAGAAAAGAACATTTCAGCGTTTAATTGATTTGTGGCTGGGCGTCCGGATGCTAACATGTGATTAAGTGGATATATTATTGTTAACTAAGCGTGGGATGGGGCTGGGTCATCTTTGAGAATGAAACCATACCTTCTTGGTTTGCAAAAGAAAATCTGAAACTTGGAATTGATCTGTTACAGTTTTTGAGATTAGTACTATTTTGTTTTGGAAAGGCACATCCCTCAAAACCATGCAGAAATTGTAATTTGTATCCACTTAAACAGGCTCAACAGAGAGCAAGCTTTCCAGGAAATTAAGTGGGGACATATTTATTACCTCTGAGGCATCTGTATTGTCCTTCCCCTGGCCCTCCCAGAATCTCCCGCCTTCTGTTTGGTTGGTTGTTGTGGTGTTTGTTTTTTTTAAATTGAAAACTACCTAAATGGGAGACTTGCCATTGTTTCCTACCAAACATTGGGCCTTGATGATTAGTTGCTGAAGGCTGGATCAGTTCATGTTGCTCTGATGCAGTATTTCGGTTTTTTAGGAGGCATAATGATATTCATTAAAAAAGCCTTTATGCATTTTAGAATTTGGACTGTTAATAATGTTTGTGACCAGAAGGTAATACGGACTTTGTATTGCATCATTTCAGGATTTTCTAGGATCTGGAGACCCCAAAGACACAAAGATGCTAATAAAAAAACAAGCTGATTGGGCCAAGAATATCAATGAACCAAAAGCAGCAGTGGAGATGTACCTCTCTGCAGGCGAGCACATGAAGGCCATAGAAATCAGTGGGGACCATGGCTGGGTTGATATGTAGGTTTTGGTTCCATCTCGGAGATACTCTATAATGAAAACTCAAATGAGTAGTTATGAATTCTGCATAATTTTAAAATAAGACAAAACTCGTTTGATACGTGCCTTTGTTTATATCAGATTGAGTATTTGAAGCACATCTACAATTAAAAAATGTTTTAAAAGTTACACATGTTCAGAGGGTAGGGACATAAATATGTTATGAAAACAAATGCATTACAACAGTAGAGAGACTGAATGGGTTCATCTGTAGTATGAGACTGTCTTCTAAAATATGCATGCCTTAAGCTTTTCAGAGTAATCATCACAGCAGTGCTTACATGTGATAGCCTATCTCTGTTGTTTTAAGCTGTTAAGGATAATCATTTAGTGGGTAGAGAAGACAACTGGAGCACAGAATCCTTAGAAATTCTGGGGCAACTCCTGTCACCGGTCAAGTTCTCCTTGATTTGCAATAGGTGACGCTTCGGGTCATTTGCAGAGTTGCCATAAGATCTTGGACTGGTCACTCAGCCTTCCCTTGCCGCAGTTTTGCTGTGCGGCAAAGCGGGTAATGTTTATTCAGGAGTCTTTTGTTTAGGTCGGGGTTGAGGAAGCGTGTTCCATGTCACCTAGTCATGTAGGACCTACTCCCTCCCTCCATCTTCATGACTCTGCAAAGAGTCTGAGATACGGAATTGCACGTATGAGTAAAGATTGAAGGAGCGGCTTCTGAGTTTGTAAAAGAAAAAAAAAAAAAAGAATTTGGAATGTTTACTGAAAACTATTTAATAAACAGTGTTGCATGGTGCTACTATCATGATATTTATTAAACAATAACTGATTAAAGGTGAAGTTATTACAATAATTAAACAAAAGGCAAAACAACAAGTCAGAACCTGAAACATCTGGCTTCTTTTTACTGGGTTTAGGTTAATTGAAATTGCTCGAAAACTGGATAAAGCCGAGCGTGAGCCTTTGTCGAAATGTGCCTTCTATTTTAAGAAACTTGATAACCCTGGCTATGCAGCAGAAACCTACATGAAGGTTGGTGACCTGAAAGCACTGGTCCATCTCCACGTGGAGACTCATCGCTGGGAGGAAGTAAGCGTGCCCTTGATGCCTGTGTTTAAAACCACTGCTTCTTACTGTCTCTGGTTGGAAGAGAGGGAGACAAATGTCTGACCCCCCACCCCTGCAGTGAAGGGAGGGGCAGGGAGTGAGGCTTCTGTAGAATGTGATTCAGGGTATTTAAGCTAATTTTGTATGCTCAGTGTTTGTTTGTTGGGTTTTTTTGGTCGTTGTTTTGGGGTTTTGGTGGTGTGGGGTTTTTTGGTGGGTTTTTGGTTGATTTTTTTTTTTTTTCCTTAGTTTCCTAGCTTCCTGGTTGAATATTTCTTGGTCTCACTTGTGAGCACCTTTTTTTCCTGTTGAGTTATAGTTGCCCACTTCCTCTGGTAATACATGGGATGCTTCTAGTCCGTGAGAAAGAAAAAATAGTAATTATATCATGGGAAATCCTGTTTTGAACTGTATTATTTATAATTTGGACACACCTGAGTGAGAATACCATATGCATAATTTAGATCTGATGAATGTGTGCTGTGTTAGTGTAGACCCCACTCTATAACTGGATTTATGCTTCTGATGAGGTAAAGTTCTGACTTCACTGGGTTTTTCCATAAAAACATGGGTCTGTCAGTACCACCCACTTCACAGCTGGGGTCTCCGTTAATTTTGTTCTTGTTTCTTCACATTAAGTTTTTGATAGGTGTAGTTGCCTCAGGAAGTGTTTTCAAAATGCTGCTGCAATTGACAGACCCCCTCCCCCAGTTATACGGGTGCTTTGGAAAATTGGAGACTTAGTCCTTTATTGAGTAGTTAGCAAGTTTAGAAAGTGAATCTAAACTGCATTTATAGTGTTACTTCAATTTCTTTAGAAGATATATTCAGTAAAAATAAAAATATTTTTTGTGTCTTGCTGTGAAATCTACTAAATTTCCTAGATAATCACTTTCAAGTTTTTCCGTTTCAATAACCAGACTGTTACGGTACTTAGCTTCTTTTCTTTTGTTGTTGATTGCTTTTTATTTTAAAATACATTAGTTTCATACTGGAGAAAATATGGATTACACTCTCTATTCTGTGTATGTATTTTTATTGTGTATTTACTTAGAGCTAAAGGATTGATCCCATGGAATATTCTAAACCCTTTAACTGTTTGAACCACGTAGGGTTCTAAAAATGAATTTTTTATTTACCTCAGGCATTTGCTTTGAGTGAAAAGCATCCTGAATTTAAAGATGATGTCTATGTCCCTTATGCCCAGTGGCTTGCAGAGAACGATAGATTTGAAGAAGCCCAAAAAGGTAAGAATGTCACTGACAGATCACTGGTCACTCAAAATACTCTCCATACTCTTCCAATACAGAATATGCAGTCTCTGCCCTGGACAGTTATCCCCTTATCAGTGGGATTCAAAACCACATCGAATCCGTGTTTTCATACTGGTCTTAAATAGATGGAAATCTCCTTATTTGATAAGAAAAATGTGATGGATCTATAAAAAAATGATGGCATCTAAATACAGGTCCAGATTTTCCAAGGCATTGTATGTCTGAGCGTGGCACGTGGCAACCGTATTTGGCATGTAAGCTGAACTGTCTTTATTAATTGTTTTTATCACAATAGAAGTCAAAATATGACATCCACCTTATAAACCTGAGTGGAAAGTATAGTTTTTCCTTATATTTAGGTAATGTTGGGTTTGTACAAGTAAAATTTTCCTGCTTCTTTAAGAATTTTCATGTATGTTGTTACGCTTATAAAATGACCTTTAAAGAGAACTGTCAACCTTTCATCATGTGGATGGGCTTCAAAATTTAATTCATAAACTATTCCAGGGACAGGAGATGTTGAAGCAAGCTGCATGTGGAGCCAGCATGTTTTTAGCATAGTTACTTTCCTCAGGTGCAGCTCCATGTGACTGTTGCATCTGCTGTTTCCAGAGCCAGCTCAGATCTAAGCGTGTAACTGCTTTTGCTTATAAGGGCCAAGCTAGTGAACATGCCAGGCATGATCTGTCTCCGCACAGAAGGAGTTTGTGTGTCTCAGCGCCAAACCTTTGAGCACCTGGTTCTAGGGCGGTTTGGTAGTTTGCGCGTAGAACTCTGAATATAGGGATATTGTTCCCAGTTTGTTCCACAAAGCTGGGTGCTGCTGTGGCTCAGCAAATATAAATGCCCCAGAACCGGGTGAGCTAGAGATGATTGTGTAGCTGTGTGAGAATTTGGTTGTATCTGAGCTAGCTGAAGTGAGGAGGCAATTGTGCTGTGGGTTGGGTTTTTTGGGGGTTCGTCCCCCCCCATCCCCATTACCCTATATGAAGACCGTGTTTGCCAAATGCATGTTTACTAAGTGAGAATTGAGGATCTTACTTTATACTGGCTTCCAAGCATCAAATAAAGAAATGCTGCTAATAAATAATAGAAGGATGTAGCAAATTCTGTACCCTTTTAAAATATTCAGCATTACAAACCAGAGCACTAACTTCAAACGTTAATTTATTGTTTTGAAGTTGTGATTTGCAGTGTTTAGATTGCCATTGTTTGCATAGAGATCTAATTGTCATAGCGTTTTTGCTCTTTTCTATATTTAAAAAAAGCAACCAAGTGTTGTACAAAATCTGTGAGCTCAAGAGCTGCTGAGGCAGTGCAAAAGCCACAAAATAGCTACAGATTCTTCTCATGTTCTGTTAGTGTCACTGCTTTCAAGGAGAAAAATACCAGTGTATAATCCTTTTATCCTGCCCTGGGTAGACTGTTTGATACTGGCTGAATAGACTGCTCTTAATTTAAAAACATTAATTTCAGTTAATTGATATAATTGCACTGTAAAATCCTCTTTGTTTTGGCCTTTGTAGCGTTTCACAAGGCTGGCAGGCAGAGTGAAGCTGTAAGAGTGCTGGAGCAGCTAACACACAATGCTGTGGTTGAAAGCCGATTTAACGATGCAGCCTATTATTACTGGATGCTTTCCATGCAGTGTCTAGATATAGCCCAAGGTAAGTAACTGAAAGGAAGTTTATTTGTTACCTTCTTGTGCGTGTAGACAAACAACTGCTGACTTGTGATAGCATTGCTGCAACTACTTCCCTGTTGTGTGGCTTTGTTTTTGTTTTTTTTAATGCTGTGCTTAACTCTGGCTTGTGCTATTTTTGCAGTCCCCCTGGTTTTCCCATGTGCTTATTTAAAACAAATAATCAAAACAGCAACATCAGCATGCATAGGCCTCCTTTTGAAATCTGACTAGAATCAAAATTGTGTCTTCTGGGACCATGTATGCTCATGTACCTTCCCACAACACACTTTAACTAGAGAAGTGATTGGAGGGTTAAAGTACTAGGAAATAAAAGGTGATCTTGGAGTGGAAGATACATCTAGTATTTGAACATAGGTTGGAGAGGTACTTTACAAATTATTTCTGCCAACAGAGATCAAACGGATTGTTCGTTAGCTATCATCTTGTCTTCTGAATGTATTTCACTGGGAGAGAGGTGGAGCCAGTAGTTAATAGGTGTAATTTAGTAATAATGAATACAAAAGATTGATAATACTGCCTTTTGCCTGGTGCTGTAAGTACCTTTATCAAGTTGATGCATGATAGTGCTGATCTGTTACCCCTCAGGTATTTTATAGAGATGCAAACTTTTCCAATTGGCTTAGTAGTGTATTTAATATTTATGAAATAAATGTTTCGAAACTTGTTTTATTTGTAAACTCCGAAGTTATGGATGAGGCTTCCAGTGATGCACACCTACTATTTTCTACCTTTAACTAAGCTGTAGCCTCTGGCAATGTTAAAACCATTTTTGTTTTGTGTTTTACTATGCTTGTTTTAGACCAGAAATTTGCTCAGACAAATGGCAAGTCTGTATAATGTGTGGTTTGCACAGGTAGATGGGACAGACTTGAACTGGTACATACCTTTTTGGAAGTGCTGGCACTAAAATCATAATGTGCTGTTTTCTTCCAACTGAGTCCCATAGACTCATCTTGGAGACTTACACTAATGCCTTTGCCTCCCACAGAGAATGAACAACAGAAGACTGAAATGTTACAGAAGTTTCATCACTTCCAGCATTTGGCAGAAGTTTACCATGTCTATCACTCTATTCAAAGATACACTGTAAGATACTCACTTTAGAAGTTGTGTATTTATGCTTCCTGAGCATTTTTCTTTAGGGAGTCCAGAAATAACTAGGAATAATTAATGACTTCTCAGGCAATTAAATATTGTAGTGATACTGTATAGTAACTTTATTTCTTTAACTTTATTATATACAGCCTTCTGCTGTACTGTACAAGAACTTCTGTTGTCTTAGTTCCTAAAAACTGCAGTGCAGTTTTAGCAGATCTGTGCTCGTCTCAGTGTGGGTAGAAGATATGACGATGACTGACTTCCCACCCCCAGCCCTTTTTTGCTGGCTATATTGGTTTGGTTCCATAGTGACCTGAGCCTCTGGTCCTACACAGGCTCTGGTTGGCTTTTCCTTTAATGACAGGAAAACAAGATTAAACAAAAAAAGGCACCTTAGGTTAGGGGTTCCTGCAGTGTGGTACGTGTATCAGTAGTGATGTGTGTCAACTGCTCCAAAATGATAAGCAGTCGTGAGTGAGGAGCTTCTGCTACTTCCAGCAGTTACAGTAGCGTTGCCGCCACTGTTGGAGAAAATACCTTTTGTTAAACATTGAGAACCCTTGATCAGTGCCCTTGCCCAAAAGAAGACTCTGTGCTATGGAGGTCTTTGCTGGTCAGACTACTTCAGCCCTTGCAGTGGTGGAGACTATTGCTGGCCAGTCTGCCCTCCTTTTTACGCAGGCTGTTAAAGATTCTGTTTTAGCTACATGGATGTCTCTCTCTCTCTTTTTCTGCATATAGCAGGCATGAGTTTTGGTGATAAAGACATGCAAAATCCATGTGCTATATTCTGTCAGCACCTCTTCTTGTTGCAACTGTATGAAAGAAACGCAGTGCTTGAGATGCCTGTGCTGTGATGCTTAGTGATACGAATTGTCGATGTCTGTATTTTTAATACTGCAGGAGGAGCCTTTCAGTTTCCACTTGCCTGAAACCCTCTTCAATATTTCCAGGTTTCTGCTTCACAGCTTAACAAAGGAGACTCCTTTGGGGATCTCAAAAGTGTATCCTTCCAATACAGTACAAAATCTAGAAGTTTTCTTATGAGATACATGAAAGGAATAATTGATGTTGATCTACAGTGCAGAGATCTCCTGCAGGGCATCTTCAGTTTCAGCTGTTGGTTATAGTTAATGGAAACTGACTTTTGTCCCTGAGGAAACAATCAGCATCTTCAAACCATTGTGTGTTTAACTGCGCTACCTTTTTTTTTACATAGTTTTGGAGAGCTGTACAAATCAACTAACATGTAATTCTCAAAACCACCCACCCCGTCTGGTGTGTCACCTTTGTCAGAGAAGCGAGTTCTAGGATACCAGTCACTGCAACAGGATGTTGGCTCTGAATCTTCACAGTGTTGTTGCAAGGAGACTGAACTGAGACAGGAGCCGGGGAGAAACCAGGAGCTTTTGCTTCACATGAGGCTGGTATAGCTGTGTAGCGTCTGTCAGGCTAACGTTTGCACAGCTTTGTTAGTGCATATTGCATCTCTCGAGAGTACTTCAGAAACGCGCTGTGTGAACCCTGTGGAAATACACCTGTCTGCAAAAGATAACAAGAAGGGTCACTGGATGCCACAGGGAGGCCTGATTTTTCTTGTTTTCACTTCGTTTATGGCTTTGGATAGGATGTTAGCTTTTCTTTTCATGACTTCCTCACTTACAAATGTATAATTGTCCATCAAGTCTTTCATAACATGCCTTGTGATCAGTAGCTTTCTAAACAGCAGTTACTGTTACACAGTGATGAAAGGGAAAGACAACCCTTGGTCAATGATGCAGAGCATATGCTTTATTTCCAATAAGATCATGTGTATTTAGGTGGTGTCTGTGGGTTGCTGGTGGTGTATGATTTTTTTTTTTTTTTTTTTTTTTTTGGCTGAGGGGAAATCCATTCACCCTAAAACTACTGAAATTTTGTAAATGGAGTCAGAATCAATGAACATAAACATTGTAGGGTCAGTTCCTTACCTTGCTAATAATTGCCCACAGACATTTTGATAGTTCTTTCACACTTGTTAAATGGAGCTATGTAAATAGATTTCTCTTCTTAAAGCCTGTTTAAACGGTGTTGGATATGCTTCATTGCACAACTTCTCTGATTAGAAAGAGAATTGCAGTTTTTCCTACAAGCCATTTGTATTTTTATTCCTTAATTAAATTTACAGCAATACATTATTTGCCCTGGCAAAACAGAGTAAAGCTCTTGGTGCATATAAACTGGCTCGCCATGCCTATGACAAGTTACAGGGGCTGCAGATCCCAGCTAGATTCCAGAAGTCAATCGAGCTGGGCAGCCTGACAATCCGATCCAAGCCATTCCATGACAGTGAAGTAAGTTGTGATGTGTTTCATGTTAATCATTAATATGTGGCCTAATCCAAGAATCTTGAGTCGCTGTATGCACAAAAAAATCTGAAATATATTATGCATAGCTCTGTGATATAATTATATTTCTGCTGGAAATGCAGTCCTTTTATTGTTATTCTTCAGGTCTGACTTCCTTTTGCTCCTGAGAACAAATTAAAATCAGTGCTTTCTTTATGGGCAGTTTCCATCCTCCCTCTCCTGTCTTGCATCTACCTTCCTCTCTGCCTATTAATTCTTTCAAGCCTTTTTCTCTCCGATCCACATGCAATTACTCCACAGTCTTTGTGTGTCTCTCCAGCTGGAGGTCACTTTCATTTGTCCCACTCCTAGCACTCCTTCCCTCCTCCCCCTATCCCTTGAATGACCTTCCTTCCTCAAGTCTTATTTTAACACCTTTTCTTCTTTAACTGAAGTCTGACTTTCTGCAGTGCTCTATAAAGCCATGTCTTATGGAGTACTCACTAAAAATAAATTGCATTGTGCAAGTGAGCATGCACCTGGCCACCTGAAATAATAGAAATACAATCTTAAGAACTGCCTAAAATAACTGTGCTCTTGAAAAGGAGAGAGATGAATTAATTGGAGAACTTGAATTTGACCAAACCTTAGAGCAAAAAACTTTGCTTCGGTAACCTTCTCTTCCACTTCTTTTGTCACTGTGTATTCGATGCAGAATTCTGCTTCTGTTACTGCAAAGGCAAGGTGAAAATCTAATTGTTAGAATGGTGAAGACAGCTTTTTTTAATGTGAAAACTTGCTGTTTTATTAAAAAGGGAAAGCATTTTCAGATGTTAAAGGATCTGATTTCACAGCAGTGTTTCTCCAGATTAGCGCTGATGTATCGGTGTAAACCTAAGGAGCCCATGTTTAATTGAAACCAAACAGTTCAGGATGTGCTGATCTGTTTACGATTACTGTGCTCTGTATGTGTTTTTGCAGGAGCTTGTGCCCTTGTGTTACAGGTGCTCTACCAACAACCCTTTGCTAAATAACTTGGGGAATGTCTGCATTAACTGCAGACAACCTTTCGTCTTCTCCGCTTCCTCCTATGGTGCGTTGGAACATCACATTTGATTGTGCTTTTCAATAGATAAATGTTAACTGAACAGAGTGAGTTAGTACTTAATTTGTTCTCTCTGCAACGGTCTGTGGACAAACAGATCTTTCCTTTTAATGTTGTTAGATTTGACTAAGTGGCTGCTTTGTGTCCCAGGGACAGTTGGATTTCATTGCAAGATAGTAGCAGCAGCAGTAAACCATTGCTTTATTATGAGACACCGAATGTATAAAGTGTTTAACACAGATGCAATCCTTTGAGAAGTTGAGGCAGTTTTGGTTTAATTTTGTTTAACTTGCTTCATGAGAACATGTGGGCAGAATGCCACCGTCATAGAAGCCGAGGGTGTTCATTTCTTAAGGGGCACAGTATCTTCTAGGAGGCATTCTCTGAGTTCTTGCAGGTCAAATGCTTCTTGCTTTTCACACCCCTTTAGAAGTGCTGCATCTGGTTGAGTTCTATTTGGAAGATGGCATCACAGATGAAGAAGCTGTAGCTCTCATTGATCTTGAAGCTCCAAGATCGAGTAAAAGAGAGGATAAATGGCAAGAGATGACAAGTGACCGTATCCTTTTGATTAAAATTGGTTTCCAGTCCTGTCCTTAGGGAAAAATGAAACAATTTTAAATTCTGCCCCCCCCCGCCCCCGTTTTAAAATTTTCCTTTTGTCATATGACTGATGTGAGTACAGTTGCATCGTGTTTCCTCTTCAGGTTAGTATAACAACCAAAGTGATGTTTTAACTAAACCTAATATTTTCATAAAACTTTTTTTCATCAGGAAAATTTTTTTCTAGTAATGTAAAATATTTCTTTTTAAGGATGGGATGCCATGCTTTACCTATTCTGTTTTAACTGCTTTCTGTAAAGAATGGGGAGAATCAGAGTGTGTTATTCACTTCCAATAACAGCTTACTTTAGGAGACTGCCTTCTCTTAGCCCAGGGAAACCAGCACAGACTTCCTTCATAACCATTCCCGTTGCAATTTGGTTTGTAATGCTTTGGCATCCAGAGCTCCCAGTTGCTGTGGGGGCCATACAATATTAGGTGCAGAGTAATGCACAAGAAAACACAATCTCTGACTAAAGCTGCTCAAAATGTAATATAAATAGGTTGCTTTATTTGCTTTTTGTCATCTGTCAGAAGGGGGCAGAGAGGGAGAGGCGGCAGAGCTGATGTCATACTTGGTTGTGGTCAGTTTTGCCATTCTGCAGCAGCTGCAATGATAAATTTCCCCAGACACTGTGAATCACAGCAAGCCCTTCTCTAGTACTTTCTATAATAATCTAGGCACTGTAGCAGCTTGAGAATACTCTGACCCTCTGGAGCAACAAGGATACCAGTCCTGCTGGTATGCTTTCATATTTATTCTGTGAGTCCTAGCTACTGTGAGGACAGCTAGTTTTATAGGAACTCTGTTTCTTCCTTAAGAAATGCGTCTAGATGCACAGAGTTTGAGGCTTGATGACAATACAGATATTATGGAAGATGATGATCCCTTTACAGCAAAACTGAGTTTTGAGGTAAGAGCCTTACCCGTATCTTCCAGTTGTTTCATTCTTGCTACCAACATAAATGAACAGAAAATCCTAACTTAAAATCCATGCCGCTCTTCTGGTGTGAATGTGTTACAAAGATTACAAGAAGAAAGATGCAAAGCAGGGGACTGGGAGAGGGGGATGGAACTTGAGAGGGAAAGGGATTTACCAGTTAATTCCTCTCTTTAAAAAAACAAACAAAAAAACCCACCACCACAAAACAGCAAAGACCTTAAAGTAAACATTCCTGGAATTTGGTTTTATCGTCATAAAATGATACAATGGGGCTGTCCCCCAGGGTATTTCTGTGTCTAGGCAGTGTAACTATAAAACAGTCGTTACTGTGAGGTTTTAATAAAGGCTGTGGGCTATGGGTGTTATTTACAAGGAATTGTGTTAAAATGAATAATGGGAGCTCGCTGAAACAAAGTTAGAGATGCGGCTGGATGCTGCTGTCGCTGAAGGTATTGATAAAACTGACAGTGAGTTTGGTGGGACTAGACTCAGGCCAATTCTATATTAGCTTTTTCTACTGAATTGTACTTTGCTTCTTACAAGACCTTATTAATCCTCAAAGGGCTTTGCCGTTGGTAACAGTCATTCTTTCTAAACCTGCTCTCCTGCAGCAAGGAGGCTCAGAATTTGTTCCAGTGATTGTGAATCGTGCTGTTCTCCAGTCCATGAGCCGGAGGGATGTCCTGATTAAACGCTGGCCAAAGCCATTGCGTTGGCAGTACTACCGGTCCCTGCTACCAGATGCCTCCATTACCATGTGTCCATCATGTTTTCAGGTAGTGTTTTCATGGAGAAGTTTTAAAACAAACAAACAAACAAAAACCCTACTGAAAACCCTATGCCTGAAACAATTCTAACCATTGAAACCTCATACTTTAAAACGTATTCAACAAATTCCTGAGTGATGCAGAGATAGAGAAAGCAATGAAAACAAAAAAATAAGCTGTGTGATGCACAGAACAACAGCTGCCTTCTGAAAACTTTGAGGTAGCTGAATTTGAGAAGTTGCACTGACAGCAAGTCAGAACCTCTCGAGCAAATCTTGGCTGAACAACAAATGCTGATTTGTATTTATTTCTTTTTGCTCTGCCCCTCTGACTTCCAGCCTGCTCTAGCAGGGAAAATCAGTCAGTAACTAAGTTAGCTTGTGGTTCAGTCCCTCTCAGGAATGGCTTTTTGAAATACTGGTATTCAGTCACATTTGCTTACACAGAAACTGTCTAATTTTTGTCCTTCCTTCTGCAAAAGTAATTAATTGGTTTGTGCCTTTCCAGCAACATCAGCAGTGGTCTGTGAAATGCTTGCTGCTCTATTCCAGGTTATAGCACTCTCAAGCAATTGAAAGTAAGAGGACCAGTTCTCTTGTAATGGTAGCTTCAGAATGCCTGTGCCATAGAGACGCCGTTGAGCTCAGTTTGCATTTTCTTTGAGCTAGTCACAGGCTAACTTGTCCCTAAATCTGTTCCTAATTAACAGATGTTTCACACAGAAGACTATGAGCTGCTCGTACTCCAGCATAATTGTTGTCCGTTCTGTCGACGGAGAATAGATGAGTCAAACCAATGAAGAAAAACAATCTTATACCTCAACTGACAGACTTCCCTATTGGCTTGGCAAAACACTTCTTAGATTCATAGAGTTTTCCTAACAACTTAGTTAAGTCATCTTGTTCCATTTTGTACATAAGAGTGGAACTGAGCGGAAGATATGTAACTATTTTTTTAAATGGAAATGTCTGTTGTTTGTGAATGTCTTCCACGTTTCCCAGACAAGCAGCTGAAGTGCCACAGATTTTTACAGGAATGTTTCTAGGGTCAAGTTCAGCCTTGAAGTAATTGTTTTTATTCCAACTTGTGTTAGGACTTGATTTGCTCTTTCATATGTACCCATTATTGACAGATCGCCAAATAAACAGGACTATTTTTCACTACTGTCTTGGAATTTGCTATAATTGTATTTTTGGTTTTTGTTTTTTTTTCTTTCTACTCCATTTAGGCAAGAACAGCATTAGAGTTCAGGGCTCTTAAAGTGTGATCTTAAGAGTTACATTGATCTTGGCATCGAGGACCATCTCACAGCCACACTGAGTGGAGAAGGGTCGAAGCTTTTAATGTCTGTAGAATTCACCCTTGTTAAAATGCAAAATGCCAGGCGGTGCATGGAAGTATGCATTTCATGCTAACCAAGCTACCCAGACACAAGTACCTCAACTGCGCACTGCCGCATATGTAATCCTAGTAACAGGAACCTGTCTACTACTAATGACCTGATGGGCTAAACTGAATATATTTGCACGCTTATAAATATGTCAGGGTGCAAGGCAGGAATGCCAAAGCAGCTGAGGGCTCATAGTCAGCCAGTGGTTTCCCACAGCGCCTGCTCTGTACCCAAGATAGGAGAGTTCTTCATTTTCTGCTGAGAAAACTGTAAGTGATGTAACTTGCTGTGGTACTGAAATCACGGGATAGTTCCCGTAACTCCTGGTGTCCTGTCAGTTCTTGTGGCGTTTGCGATCTGTGCGTGCCTTCATGGCGTGGGCGCACGCACCTGCCTGAGCTCCCGCAGATCCCTTGGCCGCTGTGCTGGCCCATGGAGCGATGTGCTGAAGGAGTATTTCTGAGCACTATTTCCCCAGCATTGTTTCAGTCCAGAGCCATGGGCAAACAATGCGTAGAGGTGAGAGGAGATGGACCTGCTGCCTTCTACTAAAGCCCCTTGCTGAGGCTGAGGGCATTGTAATGATGCAGCTGCTTGACCAAACATGGTGGGTCAGTCCTGGGCAGCAACTAAGCCCCCACACAGTAGTTGCTCACTCCCCACCCCGTCCCTGCAGGACCGGGGAGAAAATCAGAAGAGCAAAAGCAAAAAAGCTCATGGGTTGAGATAAAGACAGTTCAGTAAGTGAAGCAAAGCTGTGCATGCAAGCAAAGCAAAGCGGTAAGGAATTTATTCACTGCTTCCCGGTGGCAGGCAGATGTCCAGCCTGCTTCCTGGACAGCTGGGGCCTCAGCACAAGTAATGGTTACTTGGGAAGGCAAACACCACAAAGCTAACATCCTCCCTTCTTCCTCCTTTCCCTGAGCTTTTATTTCGGAGCACGACATCATCTGGTGTGGAATACCCCTTTGGCCAGCTGTCCTAGCTCTGTCCCCTCCCCACTTCTTGCCCATCTCTGGCCTATAGCTGGTGGGGACAGAGCGGGGGGAAAAAGAAAATGTCAGAGCTGTGCAAGCACTGCTCAGCTATAGCCACAACCCTGCTGTGCTGCCAGCACTGGTTTAGACACAAATCTCAACACAGCACCACATGGCTGCTGTGAGGAAAGTTAACTCCATCCCAGCCAGACCCAGCGTGCCATCGTGCTCCCGGGTGCTTGGATCCCCTGAGGACGGTCACTCAGTAGTTCTCCAACAGCAGGAGAATGTACGTGGGTAACCAGCTGGGCTGGATTTGAGCTGGGAAGCGATAGATCTCTTGACTTTAATCCAGTATTAATTGTGCCCATGTTACCATGAGTTCTATTGTTGTTATGACATCCCGTCTGTCACAGCCTCCCTTTGTTTTGAGTGGGAAGTGATACCCTACTCTACTATCCCAAGCTATTGGCTGAGGTTGGTGGGTGCTGGTAAAGCAGCTACCACGTAAACAGCGCTTTGCATGTGAAACCCTGTCTCCGTGTCTGCTTGAGTTCCTCTTGAAAGTGACACTGCAATGGCACTAGAGGGTTTCCGGGTCCCTCAGTGGTTCCTGACCAAGTTTGCTTAATTTACCACTTCAAAAACATTCTGTTCTAATTATCACTCGTCTGCTTTTTGACTCATCTGTCACTGTTTGCAATGAAGACTTTGCGATTGACATGGATAAACAATGCTGTTTGAGATGTGAGCCAGAATGGAATTCAGCTCGTTCTCCCAGAACTGAGCTGGCTTTGCAGAGCTAGTGGGAATGAAAAAATTATAAAAATAAATAGATAGGGTTTGCCTTGACACAGAGACAAGTTGGATCAAGCAAGGAAGCTTTTTTTTTTTCTTTTTTTAAACAGCTCTGTGAATACAGTCAAGGTTTGAAAAGTGTATTGGGCTTTTCCAGGCAAAAACACTTGACATATCTCATACGTTGTGAAGATGTTCTAGTTCCAGACTGCCCTGTGCCATTGAAACTCTTGGGTAACTTCACGATAAGGAATCCCTGGACGTACAAAAGTCCCACCACGGTGCTTTTATCTGAAGCTATTGTGAATGGTTGACCAACTTTTTCTTCCACTTGCCCCGTTCTACCTCATTACTGCTTGCCTCTCCCACTGCTGTACTCCAGTGGTGACGCACGCCAGGCCCTAAGCTGCTAACCTCAGCAGTGGCTTACTGCATCAGAGCTTAAGGTGGCATATTTGTGTATCGGGAAGATAACCCTTTAATCCTTCTCGTGTGGCCAGGTACAACTATGAACGGCTGCATTTGCCGTTAGGTAGTGGCACTGCTCTGGCCTTGGCAACACGTGTGAAAAGTTAATTGAGAGGGATTTAGGATGAGCGCAGTGTGTGTGAGGATGTGGTATTTTCACGTTAGCGTGAAGAAAGACCTTTGGGACTGTCCAGCGTGATCGTGGCCTGCTTTTGGTTACAGCCAGCCAGGTCTTCCTTTGTCCATGGTGCCAGCACTTCAGCTGTTTCAGACCTTCCCTGCTTAGAGCGAAGGTTTCCCAGCTTGGGCTCTTCTTTAAAGAGAGTACAGAGCTTTGTGCTTTTTGCCTTTAAACTTTTTGCATGTGCTAAACTAACCCACGGGGAGCACTGGTGAAAACTAGGCCAGGACTGAAAGAAGTTTATGAAGTCCAAGAGGACGCGAGCTTCTGCCCACCTTGCAGCCGTGAGCTCCAGCAGCTCTGGCACCTGCCCTCCCGTGCCGATGAGGCACTCGGTTCCCCACTCCTCTGCTCCCGGCTGCGAGGAACACGGCTCAGCCCGCCGGCTGCAGCCAAAACAGCAAGGGGAGGTGCTCGGGTCCCCTCCAGCCCTGTCCCCTACCGAGGGGCAGAGCAGACAGCCCTTGCCTGGCCTCCGCGGGGGAACCAGCTGGTACCTGCCTGCCAGCTGGAATCTTACTGACTGCTAATGAGAAAGGTGATAAACAGTGGGTGGAAAAAAAGAGATGGGGAAAATAGCTTTGCAGCTTAAAAGATTAATCATGATGGTGTGAACTGTAAGGAGCCACCTTCTCCAGAAGAGATCCTCTGCGGTTGGCTTCATGGTGCTCACTCTGCTGTACGTGTTGTCCCATTGCCTCTGAAAAATTAAGAAAAGGTAACGTCTAACTCAGTCGCTGGTTGGCACAAAGAATGTTTCAAGCACAATTGAGTGGGGAGGCAGGGAGACAGGGAGTACATGGGAGGCTCCAGTGATGGCTTTCCCTGTGGAATTTGATGATTCTGCAAGGTTTTGGGGAAACTGAAGGTATCTGTCAACCAGCATATGAAGTTGAGTGTTGGCTTCAGCTCAGAACCTCCCTTCAGGAGGCTTCAGCTCCCTTCTGAGCCGCCCAGCAGGCTTCTCAGTACCAGTGCAGAATGATACCTGTCCAGGACAGGTGGACTAGGTTATTTATTAGGTGTTACCAATGTAATCAGTGTGACCCAAAACACATACAAAGCCAGGCACAGAGGAGATGGTACAACGGGAAGCCTGCCAGCGGGGTCAGTGTTTCACTGTGGTGTTCAAACCTCTCCAGGCAAGTCCCGTAGCAGACAAAGAGGTGGCTGAGAGCATGTGGAAGAAGGGTCAGTGATGCTCGTGCTGCCTGAGGGCACCCTTCTGCAGCCTCCCACAGGGAACGGCAGCTTTGGTGGGGATGGCTCTCCAGAGGGGACTAGCTGCTGCCATGGACCTACTTTCCTCTTGTAAGAGCGGGCCTGGGACACCCCTCTATCACTGACAGACCACGCAACCCCACATCTGCCCAGCCCAGCCGCCATCTGCAGCCCCCAAACCCACAGGCGTGGGGTCTTGAACCACAAATTTCCCTCCTGTTAGAAGGGGACGGAAAGAAGCTTCTGTTTGTTGGCGAGAGCCAAAAGCTCAGCCTGGGAGCCTTGAGAAAGTGCGGCCAAGAGAAGGATGGCCATGTGCCTTGTCTTTCCCTGGCACCTGATGGTAACGCATCCCATTCCCGGTACCTCTCTGTGGGGAAAATGAGGCATTTCGCACGGATGGGCAGCATACGCCTGCGTGCCCATGGAGGGTGGACTGGGGGCCTTGGGAGCAGGGGGGGCAAGTGCCTCCCCTGGGCGACAGCAGCGTGAGCTGTGGATGTCCAGCTCTGGATCGTGGGGTGCAAAGATTGCCATGGGCGCAGGCCCCACCCCAAACCCTTGCTCCCTGGGGAGCACAGCCATGCTGAGAAGCGAGGCTGTGCGAGTGGGGCTGCCGTCTGGTTTGGGCCCCCCATGAAAGGTGTGGTGCAAAGCTACCTCTTTATATATGACCATGAGCTGTGGTCTCCAGCAATGACAGTGCAGGCCAGAAACAGGTGTCACCTTAATACCTTCCCAGGAAAGCCAATTACCCCTGGATGATTATGATTAATAATTCTCTAAGCCCTAATCGCGCTGACACCAATGCCTGGAGCTTACCCCAGGGGGGCACTTTATAAGGGGTGCCCTGCGGAGGTGAGCATAGCCACTTCTCCTCGGGGTGACGGCAAAGGCTGAGAGGTGGCGGGAGCCCCACTTCAGAGGCGATCCCCCCACGCTGATAAAACACCCCTGAGTAAGAGCAAAAGGCACCTCACGAACCGCAACCATGAACGGGACAGAAGGCCAAGACTTCTACGTGCCCATGTCCAACAAGACCGGGGTGGTGCGGAGCCCCTTCGAGTACCCCCAGTACTACCTGGCCGAGCCCTGGAAGTTCTCGGCGCTGGCTGCCTACATGTTCATGCTGATCCTGCTTGGCTTCCCCGTCAACTTCCTCACACTGTACGTCACCATCCAGCACAAGAAGCTCCGGACGCCTCTAAACTACATCCTTCTGAACCTGGCAGTCGCCGACCTCTTCATGGTCTTTGGAGGCTTCACGACCACCATGTACACTTCGATGAACGGGTACTTTGTCTTTGGAGTAACAGGGTGCTACATCGAAGGCTTCTTTGCTACGCTGGGCGGTAAGTTTTCCAAATATTCAGAAATCTTATGCCAGGAATTGCCCCAGATTTTAGGAGGGGGAGGGAGAACACCCAGATGATCTTGGAAAAGCATGGTATCTGGAAGGTCCTTGGTCTGATGTGGATATGGGCCGAGGCAGTTGCAGTGTTTCAGGGTGGGAGGTGAAGAAAGTGACAAATGACACCTTTTTTTTTTTTTTAACCTTATTTCGGTAGCCACCTGCTCAGTATCCTGAGAACAACAGTGCAGCAATGAAAAGCAACCAGTAGCAGATTTTGCAGTTGTTGGATTTGCACATCTTTTTGGCTTGCTTTCTGACTTGAGAGATGACAAATTTGTTCTTCCTGTTTCTGGGGCTGAGTCTGCCATTCGCTCTGATGCGGTGCGTGGTGGTGCAGGCTAGCAAAGCTGGCTCTCCTCCCCATGCCAGCCAGGCTTTGACCGAAACAGCTGTTAAATAAAAACTGTGTGTCTAAAAATGCCCTCCTCCGTTCAGCTCAGCCTTCAGCCACAGGCAGCTGTTTTACTGGTTTGGTCCTTGTGGCACACGTTTCCTGGGAAGCTGTGGGTAGTGAGGGGAAATCCTGGGATGATGGACACTCACTGCATCTCCGAGTGGGACCGTAGGCTTCCAGGTGCAGGTGCTGTCCGGGATGAGTGGTAGGATCCAGCCATGGATCGCAAAACACAGCAGCAAAGTGGTTACTGTGGGTCAGCAGTGCAGCGAGGAGGTGTCTTCTCATGCCTTCCTGCTGCATCTGCGCTTGGCCTTTGTTCATTTCTCTTTCTGAACCCTTGGTGGAGATTCACCTGCTGCCAGGCTTCTCCCATGGGAACAACAGTCTGAGAAGGCTTTGTGCTGCCATCAGCGCGTTTTTCTCCTCCTGTTGCTCAAAGTCCCTGTGTCCCCATCCCTCTCTCTCCCTGGTGTAGGTGAAATCGCTCTCTGGTCGCTGGTTGTCCTGGCCGTCGAAAGATACGTAGTGGTCTGCAAGCCCATGAGCAACTTCCGCTTCGGGGAGAACCATGCCATCATGGGCGTTGCCTTCTCCTGGATCATGGCCTTGGCGTGCGCGGCTCCCCCGCTGTTTGGCTGGTCCAGGTAGGGAGGCAGGGAGGGCACGGCCCCTGGGGCCGCGGCAGCCTGGCTGGCGGCGGCTCGGCCACGGCTACCAGCTGATCTCCTCTGCTGGGTGCTGACCTCCCCGGCTCACCTTGCAGGTACATCCCCGAGGGCATGCAGTGCTCATGCGGGATCGACTATTACACTCTGAAACCAGAGATCAACAACGAATCTTTCGTCATCTACATGTTTGTGGTTCACTTCATGATCCCACTGATGGTCATTTTCTTCTGCTACGGGAACCTGGTTTGCACCGTCAAGGAGGTGGGTACCTGCCAGTGGCGGGGGGGGGGGG